GCTGGAGACACGCGCATCGAAAGCGTCTAAGGTATGTACACCGGCAGGCCAGGTTAGGTATATCGCTGTGTCTCGTGACGGCGTTCTGAACAATTTTGATTTTTTTTAACACGCGTGCTTTCAATACAGTTTGCATTTATTAGATAAAAATTAATGGATAATACGTCGGTATTTGTACGTGCTCTTACAGTAAGGTGAAGACTCGGTATTTTTGTATCAAGATCATGGCAACTCGTTTGTGCAAACTTTGCCGGTAGAATTTTATCGGAAAATACAATTGAAATAAATGACGATGGTTGTCTAAAGTATTGTTAAAAATATAATGTGGATACAAGTATTTGAATAATATATGAAGATACAGTAGTTGTACTTAAATTTTGTCATTAAAGTATCGATAGTATCGATACGGTTTCTAAAACCGGGTGGTAAGAGCTTAGGTTTTGCTGCATCTGCAAGAATGTCTCCTTATTTATTTACCGTTATGGCATATTATAACGGCAACGACAAGCCCCCGACAAATAAGATTAACTTCATGCGCGTCTAATGTAATATAACGGACACTGTCCCGGCGAGTGATACATACATGCTATATCCTATCTGGCGAAGGAAGTGTATGGTCCCCCCTTGAACGGTGTTCCACTGACACACGTTGCTTCCTCTACTCGGCACCGGTCCAAAACATTATTTTCGATTGATTAACCATCGTCGCGTATCATCAGTAAAAGTTCAGTTAGTAAAATCTCAAAGTAATCTGTAATCGTTCAAATCGATCGTGTATCGTTCGAAATCGTATGACGTTTCATGACGATTGACATTTATCCCTGACGTTGGATTCGATGTCTCGTATCCGGAAATCATTTGAAAATCCATTACGAATTTTAATGCTTTACCGTCGATTATTCTTAATACGATAAATCACATTTGATATCGATCACGTTGCGTATCGTCAGATCGCGTGACGTAATTAACGATCATCCGTTCCGATTTGTTCGATCGTTCGTCGAGATATCCACGTCATCTTGACGAGAATCTGAATTATGGGGAATCCGAAATTGGCCGCGCCTTTTGGCCGCTCCATTTCGCGCGTTCCTCTATACGCACCGAAACTGTCCCACATTCCCGACCGTTCCTCTGTCTCCTCAGGCGATCTTACTCCCCACCTGGCCCACTTATTGTATTGATTCAAACTTAAGCATCCACACGTTCCTCATTCCTTTGCAACTTCCTGCTTGACGATCTGCTTCCTGTGACACTTGCTGCTTGATCCTTCCGGCAATTTGTGCGTCACAAAGGCAGTAATATTGTCAGAGGAAATGTACTGGAGAAAATGAATATGGACCGATGTATAGTTGGTGGGGAGAGGGGGACTTTCAGGTTACTCGAGAAATTCCTTCCGCCGGCGCGAGCATTGTTCCGGTCTCTCAGTTCCTCTGTTCTATTCAGCAATCCAGTTATTTCATTTATCGTTTAGACATACATTTTCTACGTACATTAATGTTAGGGTTATGTGGATTGTTCGAGATTTGTAACTCGATATTATTGATCCCTCGTATTGCTATTTGTAGCGGTACATGTAGGTATATATTCGGGGTCGAAGGCTTTTGTCATCAACAGCTTTCGTCGGGACGACTTTCTCTTTATGCGACTAGCAATCGATACACTTTTTAGATCGCAGTAAACAGAAATGGAATGAAAAATGCCATCTACGGAATGTCAGTTTCATTGTAAAGAAATTCTTTTTTCTATGCCTTATTTATTATTCATATACTGTTATTATTGTGTGAATTGTTATTAATATAACAAGCTCTCATTTTGATTAATTTCATCATTCGTTCATCAAATTTGCAATAAAAAATTGTAAATTTCTGTATTGCAATGACAATAACTGTAAGTTTATTCTCGGAAGATAAATCGAATGTTTCTTCTTTCTGAAATGTTGATAATTTGTGTAATATGAGCTGTGAGAAATGATCTAGAATGATTCTATTTACTCTTCCAGAAAATTCACGATACCCAGTATATCAATTTCATAAATATTTATATGAATTTAATTGTAAAATACAATATTTCAATATGAATGAAAAACAGAAGCAAATGTTAAAAGTAACATAAAAAGCACAAAAGTTTTAAATATATATAAAAAATTCTATTGCAAAGATTTTTATGCAAATTCATAATTTGCAAAATATATAATTAAAAAAAAAAAGGATAACTGTAGGAAATTATTTGTTGTAGAATGCACTTTGGATATATTTCTTGGACAAATGGAGCCAAGTAGAATATAAGCCTTTTATTAATCAACAGTAGTTGAAGCGCAGAAAGTTAGTACTTGCAGTAATTAATAAAATAATAAAATTAGCAAATTAGAAGTATTAAAGTTAAAAGATAGTAACTAATATTAAAATAGAATTCGTGTGGGGTGAAAGCTTATAGGGATTAGACATCAAAAAATAGTGCGAAAGAAACAACAGTACCGCGAAATGAGAAACAAATATTTACTCTGAACGATTCGCGTAATCATATGATCAAGAGTAAAACTGAAGCTAGGAATAAACGTTTCAAATCCGCAAATTGGCGGTAATCTCGAAGCGCATCGTGCACCTAGTTGATTACCTCGCAGAAAGTAGAAAAACATGGGATACGATCTTTCTTGCTCTTTCTCTCTCTCTCTCTCTCTCTCTCTTTCTCTCGGCAAATAAAATTTACTAGCAGCGCACGCGAATATGTACTTATGGTCGGGCGACGAGAGTCTATCGTAAAATATCGATTAGCCAGTATAGAAACCTACATAGTTTTTACTGCATTTATCGTGGCCGTCACTATATTTACGAAGCATTCCACGTGGAGATCTACTCCGGTTCTTTTCCTGTTGGATATACGCGCATCGATAATATTAAGATCAAGGAAAAAGCTTTGTCCACGATGGACAAACTAGCTTTGCAAAACGAAAACCTCAACGAGATTACATAAGTTCTCCCCGTGGGAGATTTTCTTCTCTCTCCGTTCGTTTCCTCGATTTAGCGTTGCGTTTCGTTCTATTTACCAAACGGTTCTCTCCACATTGACGCATTTAAGGCATTGTCAAGCATTAATCGTTATTGGGCGCGGCGATTGAATCAAATTGAATTACACAAAGCCGATTCGACAAATTGATTAAATGCTATTGACCACGGTCACGAAGGTTTTCATCCGTGCTACCTTTCATTAAGTGTTTTTATCGTTGGTACACAGTAAATAATTACAAGGAACATCATTCAGTTTCATGATTACAATCATATAAATGTTTCAATACCGATCGACAGAATTTATCAAGATATTGATTTTTTTTTATTTAGAACAAAAAAAAAAAAGTAGATACACGTACATATCTATTATTCAATATCTATGTCGTAATATGTTATCCTCTTTCAACCTCCAGAGAGAGATAAGAGAACTAATTATTTTAAGCATCTCAGGTTATCTGTATAACACTCAAGTGCGGATTAAACAATCAAAGGGTTAATAATAGAGAATGAAACCAGCGACAGACAAACATTCTTTAGAGAGCAAGAAAAATATCTGTCCTCCTAACTCAGTTTCTTGCTTCTTGAGACTCTGCACTCGATCTTCATTAGCCTTTAGCTGATTATTGCAAACGAATGAAGATATGATTTCTCCGGAGGGGGCGGTTCATTCACAGTCATTAAAGGCTGTTACGCAAACGACGCGAGGTGAAGAGGTTTTGTTCGAGGGGCGAATCGGTATCGGTTCTCGCATTGTTTCGCCACTTCGCGTTTTAATTACGCGGCGCAATGAACTTCGTAACTACTTTCCGGACTTCGACCACGTATATACTCCAATAATCGTTGTACATGCGGCGAAACTTCCCTCTCTTTTCCCCTCCCCCCCCATTTTTTTTCCTTTTTCCTCTTCTTCTTTTTTTTTTTTTTTTTTTT